ATATTCTGACTTCCAAAATGAATCCAAAAGATTGGAATCTCACAGAATAATTAAAAAAAAAAAACAAAACTCTGAATCAGACACTAGAACTAACCTGTCAGCAGGTAGCGAAGGAAGAGGTGATTATCATAAATGACCACCACTTATCTATGAAGGCATGCTAACATAACATCAATCTCTCTTTGTAAGAGTGTCCTGGAGTGACAGATCTGAGAATTCAATGGACACTCCCCCTGATTCCTGTGAGGGTGACAAGAAGTTGTGAAAGAATGTCCTGGTATTGTGGTGTCATGACTGAAAGCACCAGACCAGAGCCACAGTGCCTGATATAAAGCCTGGCTTTGCCACTGATAATCTCTATGACTGTAGACAACCTATATCTGCCTCACTTCTCTCACCTTTGAAATGGGGAAAATATTATTTCTTACATTATAAGGTTGCTGTGAGGATTACCTAGAAAATAATACATGCTTGACAAATATTAGCTATTATGATTATTAATTAGTTGTTTGAATAGTGCTTTCCCAAGGCATTCAATAACAGATCAACTTTAACCAAAAAGAATCTATCATTTTAGAGTATTTGAAACAAATGCCATCTTGTTTGACATTTTTATCAGTTGTTTTTGAAGAAGCACCAGGCCATTGGCCACTGAGTCTATAAGCAAATGAAATGAATGGGAATTTGAGTGATCATGATGTGATGAAATTCTCAGACAAAATCGAATATAATGTACTAAGAATAATATGCCTGTATAGGTTTTTTTTTTAATTATATAAACTAAGGTTATGAACCCAATAACAATTTATGCAAAAGTGATCTAGAGATTATAGGTCTTAATATAGGTCAAGATTTTGACTTGGCTACAATAAACCCCATTTAACTTCAGCCTACAATACCAGAAGTATATAAATCACATAATATAGTCCCAACCTACTTGAGTTTAGCCAGGTCAGTCGAACTGATGTATCCAATTCTAGGGGCCACATTTTAGGAGCCATTGACATTCAAGAGAACACACAAAGAAGCATGCCCCAAATAAGTTTGCTAGATGAGGACCGGTTAGAGAATTGAAGCATGAGGACCAGAGAAAAAAAAGGCTATGACTTACTCTGGTTTGCTCCAGAGAACTAAGAATTCCTAGACCTGGAATTCAGTCTACAATCACTCTCTCTCCCTCATGCCTCTGCACACTGTGATCTGCTCTTATTCTCACCGTCACCCAAACACTGCTCTGACGAGAGCCACACTGATCTCCAAGGGACCCTTCTCAACCGTGATCTCTCTCAACTGCTCTCCCCTCAGCTTCCATGACACAATAACTCTCTGTGTATCTCTTTCCTCTTCTCACCACACACTCGCTCCCTTCTCATTTAACACTCACCCTGGACTCCCTGTACAGATCTGTGCTGATTTGTCCCAAATCCATCACTTCCATTTGTATATTCAATCAGTTATCTGAAATCTCCTCTTACTCAGACCAAAATCAAAATGAAAAAGTGAACTCAAGTTCTAAAATACAGACAGAATCCTTAGGGTTGATTTCCCATCTTTGCATGGCCAATATAGTCTTACCCTTTAAGCAAATGACACTTCTTCCCACGCATACTTTATTTCCAAATAATTTATTTCCAGAAGACAAAATAATAGAGGATAGATTTGCTTCCCGATGGGACCTTTACCAACCCATGCCTTTCAGCAAGGTTGGGCACAGTATCTGACCAGCACCCAATCAAATCCTTTTATAGTTTCCGTTCTATTAATTCAGAACACCAAATTCTGGCTCTGGTAACAGTCACTCAATTGGGACTTGGATAACTCACTTGAAAAACCCCTTGAACTAGAAGTTATTAAAATAATGGAAGCTAGATTTTTATGTTTGTGACTTTCCCCTCCTCAAGCCGTTCCTTGTGCTTTCAAATTTCCATCACAGAACAGCCATTGCAATGCTTGCTCTGGCCCTGCCCCTTGGCTTACAGAGATGGAAAACAATCCCCTCCCTCTGGCAACAGCCTTGTTCTTTGGAAGGCTTTCCTGAACTTCTGGTTCTCATTTCATCTTTTTGCTGCTTTTACCATCAGTGTTGCACAAGCGAAATGTCATGCCCATAACATGACAGACACGTCATCTACGAGGGGCTCTAATTAGCTGCTCTGCAATTGTTGGAACAAGCCTATTTAATTGTGAGTTTTCAAACACCTCCAAAATTACCTGGCAGGCCTTTTTGTTACCATTCCATCCTCAAGTGAGTCCAAAGAAGTGGAGTCCAGTTGCTGGAAATGTTCCATCTCATTTTTTTCTTGCCCCTTCTGCCAAGGCATCCCTTAATGTCCAATCCGGGAGTGCCCTTCTCTCTGTAGCTTTCTCCATTGTACTTTATTAAATCACAAGGGTGGTGCCTAGCATGTTGTTACACACACCACACTCTGTAAGGTCATGAGTTCTATTTTTGTTTGTGCTCAGTGTTGTAGTATTTCATTGAATGCGTGGGCATCATACAAAAAGGCCAGTTTGGAAGGCAGTTTTCTTTCATTAATTAACAGCTATCATTAAACTGATGCTAAAATATGGCTGTGATGTTCAATTGAACACGAAATTATTGAGCTTTTATAATGTCCCAATAGTATAATAAGTGCCTGGGTTACAAAATCAATAGAAGTCAGCTGATGTTTTAAAGAAGCTCACTGTCCAGTAAGGCATCAGGATAGTCACACCGGGTAAAAATAGATATGACCAGCTGCTGGGTTTGTGGTATGAACAAGCTACTTTGGAAGAAATTTTTCTGCTTTTTCTAAAACATGAACAAAGATCTCACCATATGAAGAAAAGGATGGCTAATTGGAAGTGAAAGGACAGACCAAGAATGGGAAGCCATTTTTCATCTTGTTCTTAAACCATGACACAATGATGAGAAAGTAGAAGCTATGCTTTTGGGGAAATGCACACTTTAGGTATAATTAACTTTACCGACTTTGTCTTTTCAGAAACAGACTTCCAGATATCTGAGGTATCTCAGATAGTGGCAATCAAGCTTGCCTAAAGTAAAGGGAATTTACAAGACCTGAGACATCATGCATTGGGCAAGGAATGTAAGAGTCATGAAACTTTTAATTGCAAAAGTTATAACCGCTCAGAGGGAGAGCAGGTGGGGATTCGATCTTCCAACAAATTGGGCACTATCTACAGGGAAGCCAAGGATCCCCCAAAGCTACCTACTGGGAATGCCTAGGAGATAAGGGGAGGTACACCCTCCATTAGGTCTAAGGAAAGTCATTTGGGAAGGTGCAGAAGAATTAGAATCCTTGTCACGCCCTTCTCTCGGGGCTATGATAATGTGGGCGAACATTAACAGGTCTCTGTGTCACAGGTTCTCCAAAGACATCCACAGGTGGTCGACAAGGAAGTCACCGCAATCATGTGCAACATCTCCAAGAGAAGGATTTAAGCCAGGACCCTGGAAGGCTACGAGGCCACACTCACCTAGAGTATAGGCCCACTCCCTGTCTGTGGGCGGTGAACTTTTCTTAAATAAATCTTTTCTTCTCTCACCTCTGTGTGTCGCAATTCTTTGCAATTTACTCTGATCTCTGAGTTCCCAGCGCACACCTCTGGCTTGCCAACCCGGGCAGTGCTGCACACCTCCCTGCGCCTCTCCACCCTCACCCGGTCTGACGGTACCCTAACAGGAAGGAGACAACATGGCATCATTATGCTTGTGAGGGCCACGTGAACTCCAGATCAAGGAAGATGGACTTTAAATCCATTGCTAAGTGTGTCTTGTGAACTTGTTTTATATTGTGCAATAACTTCTTAGAATTCTGGTAAATAAAACTTTCTAATGTAAACACTATGGCTACTATTTCTATACTATTGTACTTTTATAATAGTATAAGCAAGATGTTCCTCCCCCAAAATCAATCCTGATAAACAAGAAAATATCCCTATATTTGAGATCTTGCAGAATCTCTTAAAGTACAGGATCCTTTGTTTTAATACTTCATTTTTGTAAACAGAAGTGCTATTTGGAAAATATATTTTAACCTCAAAAGACCTCAACAAAAGACAGTTGAGAAAATTTTACAAGGATACTTTTTCCTAGGAATCCAAACTCAGAGTTACAAGTGATAGATGTTGGAAGTCTTTGCGAGCAACTTTTCTAAAAATCACTGATCACCTTAAAAAGAACTACATTTAGTCCCTGTGTTGTGTAGGTGGGAAAAATGTCCTAATGCTATCAAGCAAGTACTCATCACTTCAGAAAAGATAGTGAAAGTATTATGTGTAAATTCAAAAAGTATTATATTAACAGTATAGGTGTAAATAAAGACAGAAATTTTATTAATGATGAAAAATGGATGTCAAAATAACTTTTCAGGCTGTAACCCTAAAAGTTACATTTGCATGTAGCAAAAAAAGCTTTTATAAATAAAATTTATTATTTTAAAAATAGCAAATTATCTCACATTCTAGATTGTCTGATATTTAAGCAACATTTATTACATAACACCATACCTGGTAATGTATACTGTATATTGGTAGTCATTATTATAACAATTGAAACTTTCGTTTTACAAAAAGAGAATTGAAATGAACTTAAAACTAAAAATAAAACAAGAACCAGAATCATGATACTTCGTACCAGGCAAACTATGTATTAAATAAATTTAAGTTACCCAAACATTTTCTGATCTCTTATTTATATAAAACAAACATTTAAGAAAACAACAAAAAATAGAGGTTATTCCTTTTACATCTGTGTAATTTAAATAATCTGAGGTCAATCCATTTAGAAATTACAATGAAACCCAGATATTTTTTGTCTATGTAATTTAGTAGATTAAAAATGAAATACAGCTGTTAAAATACCATGGGTGGTTGATGTATTATAGATGTGTGGGTCAGGGTTAGGGGTTTGAATCTAAAAAGCATGATGACTTCTAACTTGACTTGTTTAGCTTGACCTGAAAATGTAGTGATTTATTGAGCTTTAGAATACTTACCTCTAAGTAATCTGTGGAGCAGTTTGTGTGATATTCCACCTCAAATGCTAAGAATGTGTAGTTCACAGTGTTGCCAGCTGTTGCTTGGATGGTCCAGTTACAACGTTGATTGTCAGAATAATGATTTGGATAACCTATACTCTCCAAGATGCCATAGGTTTGATTGACTATTACCACGTTCTCACATGCTGGAAAAAAAAATAACCATGATTGTTAAGAACCACTATCATATACATATACCATAATTGCTGCAAGGTAAGTGTGAAGAGTATGCTTATATATTTTATACATATGTGGGGGACTCAAAAAAAACCATAGAATTTATTTATAAATAAATTTTATTTTATTTTTTTTTGAGTTGGAGTCTCACTCTGTCTCCCAGACTGGAGTGCTGTGGCCGCTCCTGGCCACCGCAGCTTCGACTGCTGGGCTCCAGTGATCCTTCCGCCTCAGCCTTCCTACAGGCACGCGTCACCACACCCGGCTAATTTTTTTTTTTTTTTAATTGTAGAGATGAGGTCTCACCAAGTTGCCCAGGCAGGTCTCGAACCCACAGGCTCAGGCAATCCACTCACCTCAGCCTCCCTAGGTGTGGGATTACAGGCTGAGCCTCTGAGCCCGGCTTAAATTTTATTCTTACATTTAAACTTCAGTTACCTGCAAAGTATTCTCCATTTGATGCAATACATCAATCGAGAAGCTTTTTCCACTGCTCAAAATAGTTTTGGAACTCATCAATTTTGATGTGTTTTAGTGTTTCTATTGTTTTTCTTTCACCTCTTTCACACTGGCAAAAGTTTCCTTTTAGAACTATTTTAACTCCAGAGAAAAAAAAAGTTGCTCAGGATGAGATTGGATGAATAGGGAGGGTGGGGTCATGCTGTTCTTGGTGAAAAACTGCTGAACACTCAGTGCAGTGCAGGCAGGTGCGCTCGTAAATCACCCATCATGAAATGGGCAAATACAATGAAAGAATCTCCAAAAAAAATTCACTGAAGCTGAACGCAGCCTCTCACAACAATGCTAGCTGGCACACTGATGCCAGTAGGTTCCTAGGACACATACCTCATGGCAGAAGCTTGTACTACAAGGGGCCTGCCCTCCAAAGCATCATTCTGTTTTTATTGGGGATCTTCCTTATATATATATATGCACACATATATACATACTCGTATGTGTGTGTGTATACACACTTATGTATACTTATGTATGTATACACACACATACATATATCTGGTGTGGCATTTTATAGTGAGATGGTCTCCATTTAGAACAAAGGTGAAATAGTAGTCAAGTGGACTCAAACTAAAGTGTCATGAAAATCAAATATCCATGTTAAAGTAGGCATCAAATTCCTTTGAATTGGTAGAGAGTGGAATAACTTGGCTCTACTCAGATCAGTCCGATTTGTTTGTTAGAGGAGTGAACTAAACATTCTGTGCTTCTGTTTTTCTAACATTAATATTTGGAAGGGACAGAAATTCTGACCTTTAAATTGAATAGTTAAAGAACCCAAAGTCTTATGTGAATGTGAACAGTGAATAACAACATGGCTTTGTTGAACATTCAAAAGTCTGCATGAAATTCACAATAAAGACTCCGTTATTCCTCCAGTTAGTCATCAGGAAGTACCAAGCGAATACCAGGGAGTATAAAGAAGAAATGAAAATCGTTAATTTTTTAAAAATGTCTTTGGGGGCTCACTGGGGTGGGGAGGAAAATGTCTTCAATCCAAGCATTTTCTTGAGCTAAGTTTTCAACAAAACTGCTTTAGATACCTCTAAGTATGTCTAATCCTGGGAGTAAGTGTTGAATTCAGTCAATCCTAAGTCATATACATGCCTCTTTGCAAGTATTTTTTTTTCCATCTTATCTTTCTGATGTGCCATAAAAGAGAATGGGAAATAAACATTATATTGAAAGAGCTGTCTCTGAAAATGCAGCTTATAGATGCATTTCTACTACAAGACTGCTTTCTGAGTGGTGGATGGAACACCATTTATAAGCTTTGGTTTACAAAATTATGCATTTTTGACTCTTCAAATTTTTTCTTTTCTGGGGCAGGGGGAACACTCAAACCATTTCTCTTTGAAAATCTTTAGGTCACAGTTTTGTCCACAGAGGAATTCTAAAGAATAATTTTATTGTTTTAGATGCTTGCAAGAAGTGACATTAGGCAGACAGGTATCATGTGCCTCAGTGACTAGAGGCAAACGGGGCAGAGGAAAACAAGTTCCAGAAACCACATGGGTGGCTCTTGGAGCTCAGGGATGACACTGTCTATAAACCTCCTATTTCAAATGGCAAATTTTAAAGAAAATCTCACTGGTTTGCTCTGATTTTACCTTTAAGGACCCATATCTTATGTGCACTAATCCACTCCTTCAGTATTTCCAGTGTTCTAAAATTGTGACAGAAAAATAAAATATCTCAGGAGTAAAATAAAAAGAAGGGACCTTTAATAAACACTATGATTATAACCAAACCCAGATTAGCATAGCAATAATAAAATCAGAGAAATGATTATATGCTCAAGCAGATGTATCTGTGATAGACCTTGCAAAAACTTTTCATATACTAGTGATCAATTTCTGAAGATAAAAGCTACATATTAAAACTCAGTATTCGAGCCGGGTTCGGTGGCTCAGCCTGTAATCCCGCGCCTTTGGGAGGCTGAGGTGAGTGGATTGCCTGAGCCCGCGGGTTCGAGACCCACCTGGGCAGCGAGACCTCATCTCTATAATAAATCAAAAAATCAGCCGGGCGTGGTAGCGCATGCCTGTAATTCTGGCTACTTGGAAGGCTGAGGCGGAAGGATCGCCGGAGCCCAGCAGGTGGAGGCTGCGGTGGCCGGGAGCGGCCACTGCACTCCAGTCTGGACGACAGAGTGAGACTCCAACTCAAAAAAAAATAAATAAATAAAATAAAATAAAATAAAATAAAACTCAGTATTCAAAACTGTCTAGGATTCATCCTAATCCCCAGATGTAACTGAATGTGACTCTTCAAATTCACACATAATCAAAGTTAAACATTAATACTCTGTCAATTCATTCAAGGGATATTATGTATTCAGGTTATGATTTTGTCACTTTTAATTTCATTCTTAAGATAATTGCATAAAATTTTGATAAATTTAGATTTAATGGGACAAGGAATTATACTTCCAAAACCACAAGTAAAGTATTTATTAAATCATATAAATTCAAGGAAACATTATTTTTGTGAATATCTATTTTGAAACTAATTTCAAAAAGTATTTAATTCCAGAGATAGAAGGGCGCTTTAGAGATAATCTAATTTAATCTCTTCTTTTAAGAGAAAAAATTGCAGATGCACACAAAAGAAAAGTGACCTTGTCAAAGATTAGGGGCCAGGATAAATTTCAGACCCCTTGACATCTTGTTCAATGCTCCCTTAGTTCTACCATGCTGTCTTACAGAGCAAACGAGTTTAAAAATGGTATCTCTACAATGACCACATTTTTCCACTTTACTGTGGAAAACATGCCTACTCCATGTATGACTGACATGGACCACAGTTTTCCTTAATAAAATTAAGGCACCTTCTAAGGAACAAAAACTAGTGTGAGAAAGTACTACATACACTAAAATAATGGAATATACACTGGAAGACTGGAATGTGTAATACAAATGAAAAACTATTAGTCATTAGGCTGTTGCACTGATCTTTAGCTGAATTGTAAGTCTCTCGGCATATTAAGTACTCTTCTACGTTTTTATAGTTTGCCAGATGTTGTAGTTAAATGCGGCTATATTTAATACATAAGCATTTATTCCTCAAATGGAGTTAAATTTTTTACATAAGAAACTAAGGTGAATTTCAATAGCTCAGACCAATGGATTATATTAATTTCAATTTGTTTCAAGCATATGAAACAAACTGGCACTGCATGACCAGTATCCACACTTACTCTGCCAGTATTCAGCCTCGAAGCCACGTCCTTGCTGACCTTCATCTGTCCTCAGTTTTAAAAGCATACTGTCTCCACTAGAACGGATAAGAGGTGGTTTTTCATCCCCACAAAGCTGAGTTAGCAGATGTGAGCTGGTACTTGGGCCATCATATACCTTTAACAAAACATTTTAAATGTCACATGGTTGAGGCTATAAACATTATCTAAAGGTTTTTGTCATCCTGAAGAAGTGGAAAAAATTACATATATGACATAACAAAAGAATAGCCCTGAAACGGAATGGCTTTAAAAATTATATTTAAGTGTCTGTGAACTTGGGCTATGAACTTGGGCCGTTAAGCCTATGGATGTGTGCAATAGTGAGTACATGAACCTAGGTTGGAGTCTGAAGATTAAAAACGAAAGTCTAATACATATTTTAATGCCATGGCTGATATCATTTATCCTCCTCATTTTCAATACCATAGTTTACAACTTATGATACGTTAATGCATTTTTATTTAGATTTTTTAATAGACAATGGTGAATTGTTGGTACTGTAAAAAGTCCTAATTGAATGGCTCAAATTGTCTCTTCTAATTCACCAAAACAGTCCTCTAGATTGCTATTTTTAGCATATAGAGAAATTCCATGGGTAATAACTGTAATAACCGCATAACCTCTTTCATGAGATTTTAACCATCTCTTGAGTCCACAGTCAATATGTTTTAAGTGCTTAGCGTAGCAAGCCATTCAGCGATGCATACTGTACTTAGAAGATCGCCATTTTCACCAAGTTTGTTCTAAGTGTTAATTTTGCTTGAGTTTTAAAATTTTTATTTTTAGACACAGAGTCTCACTATGTTGTCCAGGCTGGTCCCTAACCCCAGAGCTCGAGTGATCCTTCTGCCTTGGAATCCCAAAGTTCTGAGATTACCCGCATGAGCCACTGCAACCAACCTGTCAGTTTAAAATTTTTTATGTGGATACTCTGTTTAGATGCTTCCCTTTCCTGAATCTCAAAACTAAAAATAAATGCATAATGTGTGAGATGAGAGCAATGAATAATACCACCAAAACCCTATACATACAGCCAGGTAATCTAAAGTGCAGTTCGGATGATGCTCCAAGTGGAAGTCTTTGAATTCCAGGACAAATGGGCTGCCACGGCTGGCTTTCAACCACCAGAAGCATTCGGACCCGTGGTAGTAAGGCATCGGGTAGTTGGGAGACGTGAATGTGCCTTTGGAAGTGGTGATGTTGCCCCCGCAACCTGCAAGAGAAAAATGGAATGACACGCACTCTTTTCTTTCCGGTAAAACAGAATTTTCTTGTCTATATCAAACCGGCGCCACTGTACTCTCCTTTATTTATTTATTTATTTATTTATTTATTTTGAGTCAGAGTCCCACTCCATTGCCCAGGCTAGCTCACGGCCACCCCAGCGTTGACCTGCTGGGCTCCTGAGATCCTTCCACCTCAGTCTTGCAAGTAGTCAGACCTACAGGCCCGCCCTTCTGCGCCCGACTAATTTTTTTGATTTATTGTAGAGACGAGGTCTTGCCAAGTTGCCCGGGCTGGACTTGAACTCGCGGGCTCAGGCAATCCACACGCCTTGGCCTCCCAAAGTGCTGGGATGACAGGCTGAGCCACTCAGCCCGGCCTACTTTCCTTTTTCTAACAGGACGACCAGCTGAATGAAGATACCAGGGAACTAGAGCGTTCTCCCTTTGTCCTTCAGAAAAAGTGGCTGCTGCTAATTCAAAAATATTTGACATTTTAAAGTTTAAATACAGCCGGGCAAAAATGGACAAATACTGGACAAAGCACGAAAATCCAAGAAGCAAGAAACCAAGTAGATTGGATTCTCCAATGAATGACAGCTCTTTGCTATTTACCTGTTAATGACCCATCCCAGTAAGCTGAGAACCCAGAACTTGAGAGTATTAGGTCACTCTTAAATTTTAGCCATAGTTTGTTACTATGAGAGATAATTATTGGAGGTAGATTTGAGCCACAATATCTTCCCAGGGATGGTGAAGTTTCATAGCCTCCATCTCTGTGACAGAATACAGAAATGAAAATGTATCTGGTTATTGATAATACCATCGTATGCACATTTAACATAATTTAAACTCTGGAATTGTAATCATAGCAGTTTACCAGATCAATCAATTTCTCTCAAAAATACTCTTAAAAACACAATTTTAAGTTTTTAATTTCATTAAATTGTATTTTAATAAAGAATAACTATCATTTATGGTTAGTATGGCATTTGATATAACCAACTGCAAACTGAGAGAATGGATTTAATCTTCACCCTCTCAAATAAAGCCTCTGGCAAATGTGTCAGAGAAAATAGGAGAAATAAACTATAATTGCTAACAACATAATTGTTTTATTTTAGAAAGAAACCTTAAATATTTTCCTTCTAATTTAGAAATTTTCAACATGTAATGTATCGTATGTGACATATTTAGAAAAATTCTGGAAATAATTTCTTTCCTAAGAACTTTTGGAGCCTTAAATCTAGTTTAAATCTAATCTGTAGCTTTTTCAAGCCAAAAAAAAAAAAGAAAAAAGATTCATGGAACATCAAAGTCCATTGATACATTTCTATAAATTAAGAAAATCATTTTCGCATGCTAGGGTACAATTGTGATTGATTAGCTGAGTACTTTACATCATAAAATAAATTTTGTGATAAAAAAGAGATTCCAGATTTGAAATGCCAAATAAAAAATTTGACAATGATTAATACAAAAATGATTAGTTTAATTTAACTTGAAGTAATGATATGGGGTGATATCAATGTATGAGTTAACTTACCTTTACTCCAAATATAACTTTTTAAAGACATTCTAAGTTCCAAATAATGAAAGAAAAATCCCCTGTATGGAAATTCGCAAACCTAGACATTTGGGTATTTTTATTTATTTATTTATGATAAAGCAGGATTTATTGAGAGAACAGAAAAGCTCCCATAGTGGGAGGGCACCCGAAGGGGTTGCCCACTCAGACTTTTATTATCTGAACACAAAAACTTGTAAACTTTAAGAGGAGGTTGCTATTCTGCCATCATTTTTGTGATATAATTAGATTAAATGCACAGCAAACAGCCTAAAATTTAAATTGATTTTATACTGAAAGTAGGTATTCAACAATAGCAAATATCTCATTTCAGAGTAGTAGTACATCTGTTTTCTTTGTCCAAATAAAATCTGGAGTTTATTTTCAACTATGCTCAATAAAAGAATCACTTCAAAATAATTACTGAGTCCTATGCAATATTCTATATTTCTTCTAAGGCAGGCTTCAAATGACAAGCTTTATCTCTTGTAAGAAAGTGCACGGTAGGGAGATTTATAGTGAATTTTCATAGTTTTTCCTTAATTTTCCTAGGAAAAAATCAATGAGAAGAAATAACGAAAATGATTATAATGAAATAAATAAAGGTGCTCACCTGATTTCCACAAAGTCTGCTAAACAGTTTTCACCAATAGGCTCCTCCAAGGAGAAGTTTGTGAAGTGCAATGCAATCTGCTGGCTGGTTTCCACCGTGATCCTGTAAATGCATTCCCAGTTGTCAGGGTAATTATTGGGGAAGTTTGGAGAGGCTAAAGTTCCAAAATCATCTGTGTAGTCTTCCAAGCATGCTGTGAAAAGAAACAGACCACAAGAGAGAAAATAGAAAAGATTATGCTACATGTATAATTGAATAATATATATGCTATTAATGTGTGCCAATGGACTTGATTTTCAATATTATCAAATTTTCAGAATTCGAACATTCTGAAATGTTCAAAGAATGATGTCATTTTGAGCCAAAGTCTTTGAAATCTCAAGAGCAAAATCATAACCAACAGTAAACTTAAACTATGTAGTGGAAACGGTTACATTCATCTTGAGTAAGCAACTTTTTAAGTCTCAGAAGTGTCACAAGTTTCTATAATCCATATAAATTACCATGAATGTTAAAAATTAGACTCTGCCAGGATCGGTGGCTCAGCCTGTAATCCCAGCACTTTGGGAGGCCAAGACAAGTCGACTGCCTGAGCCTTCAGGTTCGAGACCAGCCAGGGGAACTTGGAGAGACCTTGTCTCTACATTAAATAAATAAATAATTAGAGGGGCATGGTAGCACATGCCTGTAGTTCTGGCTACTTGGAAAGTTGAGGAGGAAGGATACCCGGAGCCTAGCAGGTCAATGCTGGGGCGGCGGTGAGCATGCCACTGCACTCCAGCCTGGGCGACAGAGTGAGATTCAGACTCAAAATAAAGTAAAATAAAATAAGTTCAATTACAGAAATCATAGAAGAAACCTAAAAATAATTCAGGTCTGTCCTGTTCCCAAGCTTTCTTTAACATGATTTTCCCAAAGCATGTATTTTTGTGAAATGACAAAGCAGATAGGTATCTTAGCTATGGGGTAAAGAACAGGGGACTGGTCTCAGGGATCAGAGTGGTCTTGAATCTAAACTCTTCTCAAACACTGACAAGCTCTGCAAGTTTGGGCAAGTTACTTTACTTCTCTGAGACCTAGTTACTTATCTTTAAAATGGAGAGGGTTACTACTTTTGAGAGTAGGTGTAAGAGTTAGAGAGACTATCGGAAAGGGATTGGCAGTAGTAGGAAACTGCCGGGTGGGGGGGTAGGGGGTATCGGCAGCTGAGGGAAACTGCCAGGGGAGGGAGGGGCACACCCACCTCATTAACAGGGGTACCTGCATAATGAACATTTGTGTTCCTAACTCTGAATTGTCCCCCACATCTTCAAAACAAAGAAATAAATAGAGTTAGAGATAATGCAGTTAAGCGGCTTGGCTCATGATCTGTGTTCAATAAATCATAGTAATTTATGTTTAAAAGTAGAACAGGTGAGCCGGACTCGGTGGCTCAGCCTGTAATCCCGTGCCTTTGGGAGGCTGAGGTGAGTGGATTGCCTGAGCCTGCGGGTTCAAGACCTGCCTGGGCAGCGAGACCTCATCTCTACAATAAATCAAAAAATCAGCTGGGCGTGGTAGCGCATGCCTGTAATTCCGGCTACTTGGAAGGCTGAGGTGGAAGGATCGCCGGAACCCAGCAGGCCGAGGCTGCGGTGGCCGGGAGCGGCCACTGCACTCCAGTCTGGGCGACAGAGTGAGACTCCAACTCAAAAAAAA